TCATTTATTTAGATGTTATAAGTGTCAAACATAAACCTCTTGCATCAATTACAAACAACATGCATATTAACAAGCTTTGTAATAACTCATTAAATAATTCAAACGAAGCAACTAATATAACTTTAAATTATAATTCACATTTAATTAATACACCTTGTTATACCACATCACATTTATCATATTGTTCAACTAATACATGTCCATCTACCCCAACACCACGTTCACCATGTTTGACTGATACGCGTTCATCTATAGCGCATAATATGCATCTATCTACATTACGTATGCCACGTTCAACTAATGCGCGTTCATTTACATATCACTCTAATAATACAAATTTTAATGATAATGTTTTTCGATCAAATACATCTAATGTGTTTCGTTCGAATACTTCTTTAAATAATAATACTGATATTTGTCTGATATTTGACGCTTTCAATGATGATGAGTTTCATTTGAATAATACATCTTGTCGATCAAATAATGTAGATTTTACACCTTTTCGTGAAATGGATAATGTTTACCAAATTTGCTCATGGCTATGTAATAATACTGATGTCTTATTACTAGCTTACAATATGTACATGTCAATGCATCAGTTATGAATGAATTTAACTTTATTTTCCAAATTGTAATTCATCAATGTCAGCAACTTCTGTATCACATATACAAGAAGACAAGGTATGATTTAACGATAATTTTATTTTTGTTATTTATTTTATTAATAACTGCCAAATAAATCATATACAGATTAAAGCTAGTCGTGATTTTCTTGAAGAACTGAAGTGTTTGTTTCTCCAATCTCGAAACCCTGAAAAGAACGCTTTCGAAGAATTGGTTTGGCAAATTTTCAGATGTGATTTAAATTCAGCTGAAGGCATTGACTGGTTGCAAGCAGCTAATAGAAACTTTGGAGATTTTCACAATAAATTTCTTGACATTATTGAGAAAAAGGTTCATATACTCAAAGAAAAAAGGGCTGAGTAAGCTATTCTTTCATTTTAATTCCATCAATTTTATTATTCTAGTCATTTTTATGTAATTTATTTTGTTTATAGGGAAGGAATTTCGTATACAACTCGTCCTTCGCAAAGAGAAATTGTCTCATTTGTAGATAAAGCTGAAACAAAAAGCGCCTCGCATAGATGGCTAAATGCAACTAATATATTCGAATTACAGTCTCAAAACACGATGCTGCATTTACGTAGATTAGTCATAAATGCAATAATTATTAATTATGAAGAGAGAGATACAGAAAGGACCAAATTCCTGGATAATATAATGAGAAACATAGCAGTTCCATCCCGAAATGGCAGAAATATTACTAGCAACTTACAGTTGTAAAACAGGTATTTATTTATTACTATATTGATAGTTCTTTATGAATTTAATTTAATAATGAAGGCGAAAAAATCATTTTACAAAATTATACAAAGGGTTTTAAATATTGGCAAACAGAGACCAAAACAAGACAGATTATAAGTCTACATTTTTTAGCTGCTTGTTAGGGTTCAAGTTTTCAAGTTTTCAAGATGT